TAGAATACCCTCGTCAATTTTTGAGTCAAATTTGCCTAAATTATCTTTGGTATTTAAAATGAAGCACTTGTATCCAAATGGATGAAAGTACGTAATGTTGGGTGCTCGGCCTTTCCACAATTCATAGGGAATTTTCTTCAAAATAGGTCTAATATATATTCTGTTTTGATATAGTAGGAAGTATTAACTACTTATGCCTAAAAGTGTTTCAGGGTTGAGAAATCATTTAATAACGTTCTTGCCATTTATTGTAAAGTTCGATTCTTTCTCTACAACTCCATTTTGCTATGGAGTTCTAGGTGTTGAAAAATTATGTTTAATTCCATTTTCTTCACAAAAATCTTGAAGCTGTTCATTTTCAAATTCTCCCCTATGATCACTTCTTATAGACGCAATTGATATTCCTTTTTCATTTTGAACCCTTTTACAGAATATATAGAATACCTTGAAGAACTCATCCTTGTGAGTTATGAACAGTACCCATGTCCATCTTGTGTAGTCATCAACAATGACTAGTCCATACCTTTTTCCACTTACAGATGTCGTCCTGGTGGGACCGAAAAAATCTATGTGTAGCAGTTCAAGAGGTCTTGAGGTGGAAACATGATTTTTACTTTTGAATGAACTTTTAATTTGTTTCCCCTTTTGTTATGCTTCACATAAACTATTCATATAGTAGACAAGAATTGGTAGACCTCTCATGAGGTTATGCTTTTTCAGCTTTGAGATTAATCTCAAGCTTGCATGACCAAGCTTCTTGTGCCAGAGCCACTAGTTTTCGTATGAGACTAGACAATCAACATTTTGATGTTCTATCTCATTAAGCATTATTTTAAACAGGTTGTTGCATTTGTTAGCTATAAATAATACAAATGAATTAGTTTGACTAACAGTACATTTATTTTTATTGAAGGATACTTCATAAAAACTGACACATAATTGGCTTATGCTCAACAAGTTATGTGTTAATCCTTTAACATATAGGAGATTGTCAATGGAGATGGAGGAATTTATACCTATTTTACTTATCCCCATGATTTGTCCTTTATGTCCTCTACTGAATGTGACTTGGCCTCCTTTCTTAGACTTGAGGTCTAGGAACATAGACCTTTCTCTCGTCATGTGTCGCGAGCAACCACTATCCAGGTACCATGACTGGACACTTCTTTTATTTGTTGAATAGATCTGAGACAGGTATTATTTTAGTCTTTGGTACCCAAATGGATTTGGGTCCATGAGTGTTAAAGTGTTTGAGGTTTTGGAATACCTCTTCTTGTGCATGTGACTGCACTTGGACGTAAAATGTCCATGCATTCCATAGGTAGAGTATGTAGATATTCTTGATCCATTTTCAAGTTTATGTTCAACATATCCTAGTCCTAATTTATCATTGTTGCTCCTAGAGTATTTTAATATCTGTGCAAGATTCTTACTTGCTAGGGTGAACTTTGATAAATATGATTTTACTAAATCAATTTCTTTGTTAAGCCTGTTTACTTCCTCAGAAGTTGTATTGCAAAAACCTTTTTCTGACTCTTTCAACAGTTTAGCATTTTCATTTTTAAGCAAGAGATTTTCTTCAAGTAGTTCATAAATCTTTTTCTTCTGTTCTTTATAGGCTGTGGAAATCTTTGCTGAATCAAACAGAAGTTGATTATATGCATGCTCAAGAAATTTAAAGTCAAACTTACTCACCTTGTCATCATTAGATTCCGATGATGAGTCTGCGTCTTCCATGAGACATATGTTTGCTTCTTCATCATTTTCAAACGATGATACTTCTAGATCTTCCCAGGTGGCCATCATGGCCTTCTTCTTCTTGTGGAGGTTCATCTTCTTCTTTTCTTTCTCCATCTCTTTTTCTAGTTCTAGACATTCTGTCTTGTAATGTCTTGGTTTCTTGCATTCAAAGCACAATGGTTGTGCCTTGTCTCTTAGAGTTCTATTGAGTTTTCTCCAACGTGATCCTCCCTTCTTCTTCATCATGGCATGAATTTTTCTTGACAAGAAGGATATTTCGTCGTTTGAGTCACATGTTTCTTCACCACAACTTTCATCAGACGATTCCTCTACCTTTAGGGCTTTTGAAGATGATGGTGTAGATTTTGTCTTTTGCACATTCAGTGAAATGGACTTTTGTTTTCTTCCAGCATCATCTTGTTGTAGCTCCAGCTCATGGACTTTGAGAAGTCCTATGAGTTCTTCTAGCGAGAGCTTTTCAAGATTCTTGGATGCTCTCAAGGCAGTAACTTATGGTCTTCATTTCCTGGGTAAACTACAAAGTAGCTTGTCAATATGATCAAAATTATCATAAGTTCTACATAGGAAGGAGAGTTCATTTATAATAGTTTGAAATCTTCCAAACATAGTTTGGATAGACTCGTTCTCTTCCATTTCGAAGAGTTCAGCTTGTTGCATTTTACCTCTAGGGATCCATCATAGGTTAGAGCTAGCGTATCCCACATCTGCTTGGCACTCTTGAAGCTGTGTACTTTGGTGTACTCTTCCTTAGTCAGAGCACACATGAGTGCATTTCGAGCTTTGGAGTTCAACATGAATATTTGCTTTTTTCATCATTCCAACGTGCTTTAGGTATCTCCCTGCCAGCCTCATCAAGTGGAATGTAATTTCCTTGTTCTACGACATCCCACATGTCTATATGACATATATCAAAGAATGCAATCATTCTTTGTTTCCAGTAGTCATAGTTTGTACCTTTAAAGAGAGGTGGGCAGTTCATATCGTACCCCTGCAGTGTTAGATGCTCAACCCTAGGGGTCAAGCTCTGATACCAATTGAAGTTAGCAGAAAAATAAACAGAAAGGGGGGTTAAATGTGTGTGTGCGAGAACTAAGGGATTTTAAAACTGTTTTCCCCAAGAGACTATTTTCCGTTTAAAATAATATTATCTAGAACACTTTGAAACTGTGCAAAGTTGGCTCAACAAAAGATTTTTTCGTCTGAAGGTTTATCGTTTGCACGAAGAATGTTTCTTAAAAGGAAAATGTTCTTTAAGAAAACAAGTTACGCAAGTATGTTGTTCGTCTGAATATAGTTGTAATGGAAAATAAGTAGTGGACAAAAATTTTAGTATGATATAACAGTTAAATAAAATTGCATTTGAAAATGGATAAAGAGTGCATAGAGTTTTATACTGGTTCGCTCATCCTAAGCTACGTCCAGTCTCCTTCAACTGAAGGGTTCCACTAATCACAACGGATTAGAAGTATTCTCAACCACTTCTAGTTCATCAACTTTACTCGTCGACACTATTATTCTTAAACCACTTCTGGTTCCCGAGTATTCTCAACCACTCCTGGTTTGTCAACTTCACTTGTCGACGCTAGTATTCTTAAACTAGAAGTAGTTCTCCAAGTATTCTTTCAAATAGCCTCTTCAGGCTTTACAAGGGATGAATTATTTGAGTGTGTGTATAACGCTCACAGAGAGGATAGGATGGTTTCTACACTCGCTAAGGTATACAACCTTAGTTTTACAAAGATGTATTTTTGAGTGTGTATATTAATCTCACAGAGAGGATAGGATAATTTCAACACTCACTAAGATAAGCTATCTTAGTTCTACATAGATATACAAGACTTTACAAGAAGAAATGAAAGATTGTTTTAACGTTCGCTTTGCTAGTTGCTTCACTTCTCTTCTTAGATCTTGATATTTATAGCCTTGTGATAAATATGCCCATTGTTATATATAACCTAGGTATTTCTTTTCTCTTTCTATCAATGTAGCTGCAGAGACGTTGTCTTTTTCTGAAAAGTAGGTGTACTTGCTCTGACACTCACAGCTTTGACTTGTGAATTTGTGCTCGTCTATTTTTCTTCTTTCTGTTCACACTTTTGATGACTTCGTGTGCTCTTCTTATGAGTGTAAACTATATATAATATTTCTCGTTGTGAATAGTGGACTTCAGACGTTTTTCAAAATTCTTTGACTGCGTCTGAAATTTGAGTCTCCATCTAAGAGATAGACTTTGAGTTTTCCTTTTGTCTGGTCAGTTGTGCAGATGGAAAACTTTTAATTCTGTTTGAAATGTTTCTTTGTCTTAGATTATCCATCATTTGATGCTTTGACCTTCTTCTAGTTGACCATTAAGCTCCAACTTTGTCTTGTTCTTGAGTTAGCCTTGTTTGATGCTTGTTTTGGCCTTTCGTCTGATACTTTAAGATTTTGACTGGTAGTATGCCTTGTCTTGTATTTCTGTTTGGCTTTTGTCAGGCTTATTTATACATATTTATACATTCATTTATACATGTTTTCAACACTATTATGCTACGGTGAATAAGAAACATAAATTATATATAAACAAATTATAAATAAATATATATATGTATATATCTGAAATTAGATTTGATTGTTGTGATTGTGTTTAAGTTACAATAATAAAGAATTGCGAAAGTTCATCAATTCTTGTTTTGTTTAAAACTTGTGTACACCAAAGTGACCCAAGTTAGAATGATGTTGATAATAATAATGAAAAGTCATTTAAGTATGAAATTTATTAATTTCATAATTAGTTTTACCCAAAGGAACTTATTTTGTGATTAATAATAATAATAATAAATTAATTTATTAAATCAAATATATATTTATCCAAAGATAATATGTGTTTGATTGAAAATTTTATTTTTTTGTGATGATAAATATGGAATTTATTTTAGTTATTATAGTGTCTGCCCAAAGGTGAATTATAATAGACTCTAATGTTTTCTTTAATCCGAGTGTATGTTAACTAATATGAGCATTTTATGATTTAATTTTGAAGCAATTTATCTTCATTCGCAGGCTTCATCTGTTACTATGTTCAATGGTTTGAACTTCTCTAAATGGAGTGAACAAGTCAAATTCCATTTAGGTGTTTTGGATCTTGACTTGTCACTTTTAGAAGAAAAGCCTACTGTTATTGTGATAGTAATGAGGATGAGAAGTATAACCTTAAGGTTTGGGAATGCTCTAACAAATTGAGTCTTATGTTTATGCGAATGACTATTGCAAACAACATTAAGACTACTATTCCACAAACAAAAAGTGCAAGGGAATATCTTGAGTCTGTGGAAGAACGTTTTTGCTCTGTTGATAAATCACTCGCTGGTACATTAATGGTGCAACTCACGACCATAAAGTTTGATGGGTTAAGGAGCATGCAAGAACATACCATTGAGATGACTAATATTGCAGCAAGATTAAAGTCACTGGGTATGGTAGTAGATGACTCTTTTATGGTGCAATTCATTCTAAATTCATTGCCTTCTGAGTATGGAGCCTTCCAAATTAACTATAACACTATGAAGGAAAAGTGGGATGTTAATGAATTGATTGGAAAGCTCATTCAGGAGGAGAATAGGCTTAAAAATTCAAATGGTCACTCTGTCAATCTGGTACAAGGAGCTGGCAAAGTATTGAAGCCAAAGGCCAAGAATTTTAAAAAGAAAGGACGTATTAATGGAAAAATGTGCCATTTCTGCAAGAAAAAGGGACATTTTTATAAAGATTGTCCTAAATGTAAGGCTTGGTTCGAAAAGAAAGGAATATTTAAAACATATGTATGTACTTTCGAATCAAATCTAGTAGATGTTCGTAATAATTCTTGGTGGCTTGACTTCGGTGCTACTACTCATGTATCTAATGTAATGCAAGGATTCCTTACGATCCAAACCACAAGCCAAAGTAAGATGTTCCTCTAGATGGGAAACCATGTGAAAGCTCCAATTGAAGGAATAGGGACTTATCACGTTGTTTTGGATACTGTCAATTATTTAGATTTAACTAGGACTCTTTATGTACCCTCAATGTCTATGAATTTAATTTCTCTTTCAATGTTGGATAATTTTGGTTATTTCTTTAATGGTGGACATGGTTGTTTTAATTTATGTAAGAATTAAAAAGTTATTGGTTATGGTGTTCTTATTGATGGTTTATATAGATTAAAACTCCATAATCAATTTTTTGAATCCCAACTTATTGAGCATCAGAGTACTAGAATTAAACGTAACATGCTCAATGAAAGTCCTGCGTACTTGTGGCATAAATGCTTGGGTCACATATCCAAGAAAAGGTTAGAAAGATTGGTAAAGAATGAAATTTTACAAAATATAGATTGTACTGATCTTGGTTTATGTGTGGATTGCATTATAGGAAAGCAAACTAGACATAACAAGAAAGGAGCCACAAGAAGCACCCAACTTCTTTAAATTATCCACACTGATGTATGCAGACCTTTTGATACTCTATCTCTTGGTGGAGAAAAATATTTTATCACTTTTATCGATGACTTTTCACGTTATGGGTATGTTTATTTGCTTAAGGAAAAGTCTCAAGTTGTTCAAGCACTTAAGATATTTATTAATGAAGTTGAAAGACAACTAGAAAAGAAAGTGAAAGTCATAAGGTCTGATAGCGGTGGTGAATATTATGGAAAATATGATGAAATAGGACAATGTCCAGGTCCATTTGCAAAACTTCTAGAAAGGCATGGCATACGTGCGCAATACTCAATGTCATACACACCACAACAAAATGGTGTGGCGGAAAGGTGTAATCGTACACCAAAGGTGTAATCGTACACTAGTAAGGCGGTTCCTAAGACTCCTTTTGAGTTATGGACCAACAAGAAGCCTAGTTTAAGGCACCTACATGTTTGGGGTTGCCCAATAGAAGCAAGAGTGTATAATCCACAAGAAAAGTAGATTCCCGAACAATAAGAGGTTACTTTATTGGTTACCCAGAGAAGTCCAAAGGGTATATCTTTTATTGTCCTAACCATAGTCCAAGAATTATGGAAACTGGAAATATAAAATTTCTTGAAAATGGTGAAGTTAGTGGGAGTAAGGAACAAAAAAATATAGACATAATATAAATTGAGGTAACACTTCCTATACCTACAAGTGTTGGTTTGTCTATAGTTGCTCCAAATATTGTCCCAACTGTTGTAGAGCATTCTGGTAACAATGAACAATGTATAAATGATCACACGACCAATGAAGAAACTAACTCATAAATGTCTGAAAGAAATGAGTCTCAAGAAGTTCCTTTAAGGAGATCTCAAAGAGAAAGAAAATCAGTTATTCCAAGCTTTTATGAGACATATTTGCAAGAGACTGACATAGAAATTAGTGAAGATCCAATTTCTTTTTCACAAGCCATAAATAGCATTGAATTAGAAAAATGGATTGATGCCATGAAAGATGAGTTGAGATCCATGGATGAAAAAAATGTATGGGACATCGTAGAATTGCCTGAAAGTGTTAAATGAGTTGGTTGTAAGTGGGTCTTTAAAACTAACCGTGACTCAAAAGGAAATGTTGAACGATATAAAGCTCGACTTGTTGCTAAAGGATATACTCAAAATGATGGTATCGATTATAAGGAAACCTTTTCTCCCGTATCAAAGAAAGATTCTTTGCATATTATTATGGCACTAGTTTTTAAGTCAGATGAAGAAATTCCCAATAAGGTTTTGAACATGACAAATATAATGCATATTGTTATTTCTAACGTGTGTGTTAGTGTTTTAGATAAATATAAAAACAAACTAAAAAATGAAGCACGCGTTATTGCACATACCATGTCTGGTTGAGCTAAACGAAACATCAAATGAATTGATCAAGCATCAAGACTAAGCCTGACAAAAGCCAGGCATAAATACAAGACAAGGCATACTACTAGTAAAAATCTTGAAGTATCAGACAAAAGGCCAAAACAAGCATCAAACAAGGCTAAGTCAAGAACAAGACAAAGTTGGAGCTTAATGGTTAATTTAAGACGAAGAAACATTCTAGCAGAATTAAAAGTCTTCCCTCTGCACAACTGACCAGATGAAAGGAAAAGTCAAATTCTATCTCTTAGATGGAGACTCAAACTCCAGACACAGTCGAAGAATATTGAAAATCTTCTGAAGTCCACTATTCACAACAAGAAATATCATATATCGTCTACACTTATAAGAAGAGCACACGAAGTCAACAAAAGTGTGAAAAGAAAGAAGAAGAATAGACGAGCGCGAATTCACAAGTCAAAGCTGCGAGTGTCAGAGCAAGTACACCTACTTTTTCAGAAAAAGACAACGCCTCTACAGCTACACTAATGGAAAGAGAAAAGAAATACCTAGGTTATGATTGAAGTCAGACATAAAAGAGAACAAACTACGCAAAGGACTTCACATAACATAGATTCGGTAAGTAAACATTTAATGCAAGATCAAATGCATTAAATGAAAGATCTACATAGCCATGAACGAACTGTTATCTGCACCAACGGGAAGCTCTGCATCAACAGACACATTCAAATTCAAACAACAGGCAGATTTATCACAAGGCTATAAATATCAAGACCTGAGAAGAAAAGAAAGATAGAAGAGAAGTGAAGCAACTAGTAAAGCGAACGTTAAAACAATCTTACATCTCTTCTTGTACAATCTTTTATATCTGAGATAGCTTATCTTAGTAAGTGTTGAAATTATCCAATCCTCTCTGTGAGAGTAATATACACACTCAAAAACATATCTTTGTAAAACTTAGGTTGTATACCTTAGCGAGTGTAGAAACCATCTTATCCTCTCTGTGAGAGTTATACACACACTCAAATAATTCATCCCTTGTAAAGCCTAAAGATGCTATTTGAAAGAATACTTGGAGAACTAGAAGTGGTTTAAGAATAATAGCGTCGACAAGTGAAGTTGACGAACCAGGAGTGGTTTAGAATACTCAGGGAACCAGAAGTGGTTTAAGAATACTATCGTCGATGAGTGAAGTTGACAAACTAGAAGTGGTTGAGAATACTTGTAATTCGTTGTGATTAGTGGAACCCTTCAGTTGAAGGAGACTGGACGTAGCTCAGGTCGAGCGAACCAGTATAAAACTCTTTGCACTTCTTTATCTATTTTCATATGCAATTTTATTTAGCTGTTATATTGTACTGAAAATTTCATCTACTAATTATTTTTACCTATAACTATTTTCAGACGAAAAATACACTTGTTCAACTCATTATCTAAAGAGATATTTTATTCATAAGAAACTTCCTTTCTTCAAGTAGACGATAAACTCTCAGACGAAAAATATTTTTCTGAGCCAACCTTACACTGATTCTAAGTGCTCAAAGAATTATTCTTATTAGACGAAAAAGAGCCATTTTGTGAAAACGGTTTTAAAATTCCCTCGTTCTCGCACACACACATTCAACCCCTCCTTCTGTGTGTTTTTCTGCTAACTTCACTAGTGGCTCATTATGATTTAGAGTTAGATAAAATTGATGTGAAAACAACATTTCTAAATGGTAATCTTGAAGAAGAAGTTTATATGGACCAACCTGAAGGTTTTCCAATTGAAGGAAAAGGTAAAATGGTGTGTAAACTTAAGAAATCAATATATAGATTGAAAGAAGCCCCAAGACAATGGTATATCAAGTTTAATGATACCATTACCTCTTTCAATTTTGAAGAAAATATTGTTGATAGATGTATATACCGAAAGGTCAGTTGGGGTGAGTTCATGTTTCTAGTCCTATATGTTGATGATATCTTGCTTGCAACTAATGATTTGGGTATGTTGCGTGAGAAAAAGGAATATCTCTCTAGGAATTTTGAAATGAAAGATATGGGAAGGGAATCCTATGTGATAGGAATTGAAATATTATGTGATAGGTCACAAGGACTATTAGGATTGTCTCAAAAGGCCTACATAAATAAAATTCTAGAGAGATTCAACATGGAAAATTGTTCTGTAGGAATTGTACCAATTCAAAAAGGGGATAAATTTAGCCTTATGCAATGCCCAAAGAATAACTTAGAGCGGAAACCAATGGAAAGAATACCATATGCTTCAGTAGTGGGTAGTCTTATGTATGTACAAACTTGCACAAGACCGGACATTAGTTTTGCGGTTGGAATGTTTTGTAGGTATCAAAGTAATCTTGGAATTGACCACTGAAATGCTACAAAGAAAGTTTTAAGTTATCTGCAAGGAACAAAAGATTATATGCTCATGTATACAAAAAATCCAGCCAACTAGAAGTAATTGGAAACTCAAACTCGGATTTTGGTGGATGTATTGACACTAGGAAGTCTACTTTTGGCTACTTATTCCTACTCAGAGAAGTGGCCATATCATGGAAAAGTGCAAAGCAAAGTGTCGTTGCTTCATCTACCATGGGAGCAGAATTTGTAGCATGTTTTGAAGATACAATTCATGCATTATGGTTGTAAAACTTTATTTCAGGACTTGGGATTGTTGACACAATCGCTAAGCCACTGAAAATTTATTGCGATACCTCTACAGCAGTATTTTTCTCAAAAAATGAAAAATACTCAAAAGTTGCCAAGCATATGGAATTAAAGTATTTTGTAGTTAAGGAGGAAGTTCAGAAACAAAGAGTGTCCATAGAACATTTTAGAACTGATCTTATGATTGTCGATCCATTAACTAAAGGATTACCACCAAAGACATTTAAGGAACATGTACATAGAATGAGTCTTGATTCTCCTTTTGAAGGATGTGATTAGTTATGTTGACACTCTGAGCTCATTATGTTTATGTGTTTCTGAACAATGATAGTCTGTTTGTCTGTTTTTGGCTAATGTGCACATAATTGCATTTTCTGAATTATAACATGAATGCTCTAGAAACATTTGAGGCCATTATGAAATTTTATGTGTTGTTTATGTATATTATGTAATGAAATGCTGGTGTTTGTAGTATATGGAAGAAAATGTGTATTGTAAATTAATAAAGGACCGTCATAACCCACACTTGGTATTTTATTAGTGTTGGGATTGAGATTAGATTTTAGGCCAAGTGGGAGATTGTTGGATGTAACTGCACAATGTTGAAAGTAACTGTTTGATAACTTCCTTTGTGGCCTAAAATAAAATAATAATCACCCACTACTAATTTAACAATTAAGTAAATCTCATCTGTAACACACCAATTTTCAAAAAGGTTATTATTATTATTATTGCACTACTACAAAATGCATATTCTACATCAGTTCTCTAAAATCATCTACATCGGTAGAGCGACGTAGAAAATGTATACATTTTTACATTGGTTCTGAAAAACCGATGTAGATTTAAGCATAAATCTACATCGGTTCTCTAGACAACCGATGTAGATTTAAGAATAAATCTACATCGGTTCTCTAGAGAACCGATGTAGATTTATGCTTAAATGTATATCGGTTTTCTTGAGAACTGATG